ACAACAATAATTAGATTTTTTCATTCCAGATGCAGAGATTTAAGTAATTTATTTTTTAGTTTTAACAATATATTTCAGTGTTGGTAATATATTTTGAGTATAATTCCCTTAAATTTTCCTAATCTGTTTGTTCAACTATCAGATATATTAAAGGTTTATCTTATATTCAGTTCATCATTAGAATCTCTCATTTCTCATCGGCTGTTATTATACTTCGTCATTCGTCCATTACAACTCGGCCACAACACCACCACAACACCACCACAACTCGGCCACAACACCACACATAAACACCATTAGTCCACTACCATCATGGCAGCTTGGTAACCTCACACCACTTAACACACAAAGTCATCCCTCCATATAACGGATTTTCTCAATAATAATCCGTTATATGGACTTTAATCTAATTGGTTCATTAGATGGGGTTTTACATTTATCGGACTCTCGATATAACGGACGTTCATCTCGATATAGTTCGTTAAATGAAAGTTTCACGTTTAACAAACCCTCGATATAACGGACTTTCATCTCTATATAGTTCGTTAAATGGTTTCACGTTTATGACACCCTGATATAACGGACGTTCATCTCGATATAGTTCGTTAAATGAAAGTTTCACGTTTAACAAACCCTCGATATAACGGACTTTCATCTCTATATAGTTCGTTAAATGAAGGTTTCACATCTAACAAACCCTCGATATAACGGAATTTCATCACTATATAGTCCGTTAATTGGAGGTTTCACTATAGTCCCGAGGTTTCTACTAAATGGACTCAGACAGACGTTGTGTGTGGCATTCTCGTCTCCTCTGTACAGCATGGGTCAACGTAACGCTTAAAATTCCTCTGTCTCTCTCTCTTTATCGCTTTCTCTCTCTTTTACCATTTGTCTCTCTTTTCTCTCATTCAATCTTTCTCCTTTGTCTTTCTATATATATATCTCTTTCTTTCTCCCTTCTCTCTCTATCTCTCCCTTTCTTTCTCCCTTCTCTCTCTATCTCTCCCTTTCTTTCACCCTTTGTCTCTCACTCTAACTCAGCACTCTGGGGTCACATGTGGGAACGCTTGGTACTCGTTGCCAGTTGTGTGTGACATGACAGAGCAGCTTTAGTGTTGTCCGACTGTCTCTTGTTCACTACTACATTGATACCTCCATATAACGGACCTTTATACATTGATACCTCGATATAACGGACCTTTATACATTGATACCTCGATATAACGGACCTTTATACATTGATACCTCCATATAACGGACCTTTATACATTGATACCTCGATATAACGGACCTTTATACATTGATACCTCGATATAACGGACTTTTCTAGTAATATCTCCATATAACGGATTTTCTAGTAATACCTCCATATAACGGACTATTCTCTCTCCATAATTACTCTTGATATAACACATGTTCCTCTCTATATAGTTTGTCCCATGGAGGATTCGTAATTAACGGACACTTGGTATAACGGACTTTCCTCTATAGTCCGTTAAATAGAGGTTTCAATATAGCCCCCCCCCGATATTCCTGATTTTGTCTCTGGTGTTGTATTAAAAGGGGTGGAAGACCTAACCTAACCTAACCAGTACAAAGGGCCTTGGTATGTACCGAAAAAATCGACATAATAGCATTCACTGAAACATGGATCAACCTAGACTCACGTGAGTTACCGGTCGAATACCAAATTGCAGGTTACAAATTGTTCCATACCGATAGGCAGACCAGGAAAGGAGGCGGAGTAGCAATCTATGTTAGGGATAATCTGAAGTGTGCAATCAACGAGGAAATAAAAACTGAGCGGAATACAGAAACAATTTGGATAGAATTAAGCGACGGTCGGGAAAAATTAATCACAGGAGTCATATATAGACCCCCCAATCTTGATAGAGTCAATGAGCGACTTATTTGGGATGAAATGCGCAGGGCTTCCATACACAACAAAGTCTGTATAGTAGGCGACTTTAACCTTGGCCAAATAGATTGGACTGACCTTACGGGTAACTCAGAATCAGAGGATTTCTCGAGACGATCCAGGACTGTTTCCTAAGTCAACATATAACTGAACCCACACGGGGTAATAATATACTCGATTTAGTTCTGTCGAACAGAGAAAACCTCATTAGCAATGTCGAGGTAGGGAACGAGCCAGTACCGACCTCACCCCACCCGGGAACCTGAACCTGACGGTTGACACCGACCTGATAACGAGATCTGAGATTGCCGAGTTCCACGACAATTTAAATAATGAGTTACTTAATGCACAAAGGCAGAACATACCATACAAAAAACTCAGATCAGACAACAATGACCCTAAATGGATAAATAATTATTTAAAGAACATTATTGGCCAAAGAAAGGCTATAGGTAGAAGGATAAATCGTGGCGAAATTTACCTCCAGGATTATTATAAGATATTGGCGAGTAGGGTTAAAACCGAGATAAGGAAAGCCAAGAGGAATAATGAGGTAAGGATAGCAAGGGAGGCGAAGACAAACCCCAAAGGATTCTACCAAATGTATCAAACTAAAACACGAGAAAAGATTGGACCAATACGGTCAGATACCGGCGAGCTCACTGATAACGACGGAGAAATGAGCAATAATCTGAATAAATATTTTTCATCAGTTTTCACCACAGAAAATTTAAACATGATATGAGGCACGACTCTATTCAGAGATAGTGAAAAAAAAAATTAAGCGAGATAGTAGTGACTAGTAACGATGTTAGTAAGCAAATAGACAAACTAAAGCCTAATAAGTCACCTGGTCCCGATGAGATATTTGCCAGAGTATTAAAGGAATGTAAGGAAGAGCTTAGTATGTCCTTAGCAAAGTTGTTCAACATGTCATTAAAAACAGGTGTAGTACCAGAATCTGGAGGATAGCGAATGAAATACCGATTTTCAACAAGGGGGATAGATCACTATCCTCTAACTACCGCCCAATCAGTCTAACATCAATAGTAGGCAAATTACTGGAAGCAATCATTTCAAACTCTATTCGAAATCACCTGGAGAAGCACCAATTGATCAATGATTCCCAGCATGGCTTCACATGCGGGCGTTCTTGTCTAACTAATCTATTAACATTCTTTTCATCAGTTTTCGAATCGGTGGACGAGGGGCACAATTATGATGTGGTACATCTCGACTTTAGCAAAGCCTTTGACAGAGTCCCCCACGAAAGACTAATTAGAAAGGTTGAAGAGCATGGCATCAAAGGTAATATCCTTAAATGGATGAGGGCGTGGTTACAGGACAGGAAACAGCTAGTGAGCATTAATGGCACTAAATCCCATTGGAGCAACGTCACTAGTGGAGTTCCCCAAGGCTCAGTACTTGGACCATTATTATTTATTATATACATAAACTACATATATATCTGCATAGACAGCAACATAAGTAAATTTGCTGATGACACCAAAATAGGAAGTGTTATTAAATCTGACGAGGACCCCACAAAACTACAGGAAGATCTAAAAAAAATTTTCGAATGGTCTGAAAAATGGCAGATGGAATTCAACGTGGACAAATGTAAAGTGCTCAGTATAGGAGATGTAAACAGGGAAACCAGTTACCAGATGAACAACGATGCTATTGAGAAATCCGACTGCGAGAGAGATTTAGGAGTAATGATAAGTAGGAACCTTAAGCCAAGTAAACAATGTGTATTTGCTGGAAACAAGGCTAATAAAGTACTTGGGTTCATACAAAGGAGTGTTAGTTACAAGACTAGCGAGGTCATCCTAAAACTATATCTTGCGCTTGTGAGACCTCACTTGGATTATGCAGTTCAATTCTGGTCACCGTATTACAGAATGGATATAGAATCCTTGGAAAGAATTCAGAGGAGAATGACAAGACTAATCCCGGGCATCAGGAACCTTGAGTACAGAGACAGGTTAAAGCATCTTAATTTGCACTCCCTCGAGAGACGTAAAGTGAGGGGCGACCTGATAGAGGTGTATAAATGGAAGTCAGGGCTAAACAAAGGTGATATAACAAAGGTACTCAAACTATCCAACCAGGAGCGAACTCGTAACGATGGTTTTAAATTAGACAAATTTAGATTTAGGCGCGAGATAGGTAAACACTGGTTTGGAAACAGAGTAGTGGATGAATGGAACAAGTTACCAAACATCATCATTAACTGGAATACGCTGGATAGCTTCAAACATAGGTTGGATGCTTATATGAGCAATAGGGGTTGGGTGTAAATGGGACTGCCTATTATGGGCCAATAGGCCCGCTGCAGTTTCCTCCATTCTTATGTTCTTATGTCAGGTCAGGTCAGGTCAGGTCAGGTCCACTACATCACCAGTACACAAGTCAGGTCTTATCTTGGGTTGCCATTGTGTGTTGGTATTAAATGATTGTGGGCGGGTTAGAGCACAAGGGGGGTGGAGGGTATTGGAGGGTGGAGGGTGTTGGAGGGTGTTGGAGGTGGTGGAGGGGTGTTGGAGGGGGTGGAGGGGTGTTGGAGGGTGGAGGGGTGTTGGAGGTGGTGGAAGGGTGTTGGAGGTGGTGGGGGGTGGTGGAGGGGTGTGGAAGGGTGGGGGTGGTGGAGGTAGTGGAGGTGGGGAGGGGTAGTGGAGGTGGGGATTGAGGGGTGTTGAAGGTAGTGTTGATGGAGGGGTGTGTGGAGGGGTGGAGGGGTGATGGAGGTAGTGAAGGTATTGGAGGTGAGGATGGAGGGGTGTTGAAAGTAGTGTAGGTGGAGGGGTGATGGAGGTAATGAAGGGGTGGTGGAGGTAATGAAGGTGGGGTGGAGGGGTGGTGGAGATAGGAGGGGCCTGGGGGCGGGGCAGGGTGTGAGGGCAGGGAGTCAGCAGCTCGCCAGCAGTTGATCGTGTGATCGCGTGGAGTCCACACCGGGCCCAGAGGTCATCCAGCACACGTAGCGTGGTCCGCCTCTACTCCTACACCTCACTGTGTGTGGTGGGTGGTCATGACAGTGAACGTTGTGGCAGCATAGTGGCAGGGAGGTGACGCAATGTCTAGCAATAAGCGGTTGTCCGGTCCGCCCGATTCGGGTCAGCCGGACCGCGACCGTGGAGACAGAGGTAGAGGCTTTGGTACACAGGTTTTTGACTCCAAGTCTATGAAATATGGCTCAGCGGTGAGCCGCTCAGGTGAAGGCCCGCCTGGTGCCCCGGGGACGACGGGTCGGGATGACGGCCGGAGAGGACTATCTGGCGCCTCCGGCCGCCAAGCCGCTGGCGACGCAGCCGACGGAGCCACGATAGGCGGGCTGCCCGTGACTCAGACCACGGGAGGAAGGAGGCGTCAGGGAGGCCGACGTAACAGCCTCGACAACGGACGCAGTGTTGACGCTGGACGAGGATCTCAAGGCGGAGGTCGGCGAGGCAGTATCGACAGCGAGCAGGGGAAACCCAAGCAGGAAGATGGCCAGGGGAGCGCCGTGGTCGAGATGCCTGAAGGGAAGGAGAGAGATCAAGCGATCCAAAAGCAGCGAGGGAGGGTGATGCTGCTGAGTTCTAAGGGCGACTGGCCAGCCCTGGATCACGCCCTCAAGATGCTAGAGAAACTCGCCCCTGAACCTGTTATAGGGGAGCCAAAAGTCCCTTACTTACCACTCAAGGATCTGGCAGAGGAGGTGAGTAGCACTGCTGAGTCACACTTTATGTACCACAGGTAGTAAATGAGTCTTAGTCCATTAAGTAATGTTTGGCGAGTGTGGCAGGGAGGTGACCCTTGTTGGCGTCACCTAGAGCAGCGCCAGAGAGAGACTTACTACCTTATTGTATTATCTCTTATTGGTTCATTGGATCTTGTGTTAACAGAAGTGTATATTAATCTCATTAATCTAACAACTCCTGTTAATTTCTACGTCGGGTCATCACAACACACTACACAGAGATTATCGCCCATTAAACTGTGAAAAACAAACTACTGTTATGTATAAAGCTGTTCATTTCTATGTATTATGATTATACACATGTTCGTCTATTGGCCAGTCAGAAATCCCCTCCCCCACGATATAAATAAAACACATAAGTTATCACTATTACGCATTTATTCTTATTTATCGAGTTAAGGAAATCGAATCAAGGTAAGTGAGTTAAGATTAAGCGAACGGAGAAAGTAAACTGAAGTAAGGAAGATGAAAGAACAAAAAAAAAACGGAGAAAGAATTAATGACAACGCCGCTTAAACCACACGAAGAAACAGGAATACTCACTTACCATCAACAGTAAACTAAACAGACAAACAATATGGAGGCCTTGTAGTCCAGGTGGGAGAAAAACTGTCTTCTTACTGTTAAACTTATAAGTGTTAACTGTTGTCACTATTTCGTAAGTCTTCTGAAACACTATTATTACTTCATCTATATTTCGTCCTTATAAACAAATAAACATCAATTCCTTCATCCATATTTCGTCCTTGTAAACAAATGAACATCAATTCCTTCATCTATATTTCATCCTTATAGACAAATGAACATCAATTCCTTCATCCATATTTCGTCCTTGTAAACAAATGAACATCAATTCCTTCATCTATATTTCGTCCTTGTAAACAAATGAACATCAATTCCTTCATCTATATTTCATCCTTATAGACAAATGAACATCAATTCCTTCATCTATATTTCGTCCTTCTAAACAAATGAACATCAATTCCTTCATCTATATTTCGTCCTTATAAACAAATGAACATCAATTCCTTCATCTATATTTCGTCCTTATAAACAAATGAACATCAATTCCTTCATCTATATTTCGTCCTTGTAAACAAATGAACATCAATTCCTTCATCTATATTTCATCCTTATAGACAAATGAACATCAATTCCTTCATCCATATTTCGTCCTTGTAAACAAATGAACATCAATTCCTTCATCTATATTTCATCCTTATAGACAAATGAACATCAATTCCTTCATCTATATTTCGTCCTTGTAAACAAATTAACATCAATTCCTTCATCTATATTTCATCCATGTAAACAAATAAACATCAATTCCTTCATCTATATTTCATCCTTATAAACAAAAGAACATCAATTCCTTCATCTATATTTCATCCTTATAAACAAAAGAACATCAATTCCTTCATCTATATTTCGCCCTTGTAAACAAATGAACATCAGATCGGTTATATACAGTCAACAAAGCTCAGTGACATCTTACTGTACGGTAAAATTAATAACGCACAAAGGAATATATTTATTTTTTACTTATGACTAATTCTATATTAAAGACAAATCCAATTATTTACCCATATTTCTTATTCGTGTTAATCTGTCTATCTGTCTATCTGTCTGTCTATCTATTTGTCTGTCTGTCTGTCTGTCTGTATCTCTATTCCGTACCTTTACTTCTCTCCAACATGTGTGTGCGATGGCTCTTGAGGAAGGTAAAGCAACGAGAGAGAGAGATGACTATCCTCTCCCCCCCCCCCTCTCGCCAGTGACCCAACCCCCTATAAACGTCCATCCTGTCTATTGTGTCTCTCAGCTTCCTATCTCCATTATCTCTCTGTTTCTCCATTATCTCTCTGTTTCTCCATTTCCGATATGTTCCACAACTCTCTATCTGTCTATCTATCTATCTATGTCTGTCTGTCTGTTTCTCTGTCAGTCTCTTTCTAGAAAAATGTAGTTTATGGATGTCATAGTGTAATAATAATAATTATAATTAACGGTTTATTGGATAAGTTCAGGAGCCCGAAGGTTGAAAATATACATTGGACAAAAATGACTTATTACATACAAAGACATGGGCCGGGTGGGTCGTTTAACATGGGGTGGGTGGGTCGTTTAACATGGGGTGGGTGGGTCGTTTAACATGGGGTGGGTGGGTCGTTTAACATGGGGTGGGTGGGTCGTTTAACATGGGGTGGGTGGGTCGTTTAACATGGGGTGGGTGGGTCGTTTAACATGGGCTGGGTGGGTCGTTTAACATGGGCTGGGTGGGTCGTTTAACATGGGCTGGGTGGGTCGTTTAACATGGGCTGGGTGGGTCGTTTAACAAAATCTTTCATTACTGAAAGAAGAAGGAACAATGATTGAACATACAAATTATTATAGTTTACAGTTGATGGCCCGGGCCTGGGCTGGTCATGTAGACACCGGGTGGTGAGGTGTTCACGTGGTGTAGTAACTCGTCTTCGGGTGTTGATATGAGGGACCTCACGTGGTCATGGAGACACCAGGTGGTGAGGTGTTCACGTGGTGTAGTAACTCGTCCTCGGGTGTTGATAAGGAGGACCTCACATGGTCATGGAGACACCGGGTGGTGAGGTGGTCACGTGGTGTAGTAACTCGTCCTCGGGTGTTGATATGAAGGACCTCACGTGGTCATGGGGACACCGGGTGGTGTGGTGTTCACGTGGTGTAATGCTCGTCCTCAGGTGTTGATATGAAGGACCTCACATGGTCATGGGGAATCACCAGGTGGTGTGGTGTTCACGTGGTGTAGTAACTCGTCCTCGGGTGTTGATATGAAGGACCTCACGTGGTCATGGAGACACCGAGTGGTGTGGTATTCACGTAGTGTAGTAACTCGTCCTCAGATTGTTGATATGAAGGACCTCACATGGTCAGCTAGGGACACCAGGTGGTGTGGTGTTCACGTGGTGTAGTAACTCGTCCTCGGGTGTTGATGAAGGACCTCCGTGATCGTAGGGTTTGAGTGGTGTGGTGTTCACGTGGTGTGTAACTCGTCACTCGGGTATTTGATATGAAGGACCTCACATTGGTCATGGGGACACCGGGTGGTGTGGTGTTCATTTGGTGCAGTAACTCGCCCTCGGGTGTTGATATGAAGGACCTCACGTGGTCATGGGGTCACCGGGTGGTGTGGTGTTCATTTGGTGCAGTAACTCGTCCTCGGGTGTTGATATGAAGGACCTCCCGTGGTCATGGGGACACCAAGTGGTGTGGTGTTCATGTGGTGCAGTAACTCGCCCTCGGGTGTTGATATGAAGGACCTCCCGTGGTCATGCAGACACCAGGTGGTGGCCAATTGTTCACGTGGTATGGTAACTCTCAAGTAATAGAACCCTCCCAGCAAATCCTCAAGAACCCTAAATGGTGGTGTTCACGTGGTGTAGTAACTCGTCCTCGGGTGTTGATATGAAGGACCTCACGTGGTCATGGAGACCGGGTGGTGTGGTGTTCACGTGGTGTAGTAACTCGTCCTCGGGTGTTGATATGAAGGACCTCACGTGGTCATGGAGACACCGGGTGGTGTGGGTGGTGTCACAGTACCTCGCCCTGCTGGGTGGTGTTGTGTTATCTCGTAGTCAGCCGGCCCTCTGTTGTTCCCAGGGTGGACTGATTAGCACCTCCTGGTCAGCAGACAGTGGTCAGTTCCCAGGGGTGCTTATCTCACTGGTGGGTCACAGCTCTCACTGGTACTGTCTGGTGCTGAATTCACTGGCTTAAACACTGTTCATCACCGTTCAACACTGATCCCACTTCTTTCCAAAACGAAGTTGTCACTTTAGATTATGTTGATATCCCGGTGGTGAGGATGGGTCGGGGAGAGGGACTTGGGGAATGGGCCGAACATTGGCCAAGGGTGGCAGCTGCTCAGGAGCGCCTGATAGGTCTTGACCCGACGGGTGTCAAGGGTGTAGTGTGTGTTTACAGGTAAATTAACGAATAAAACGAATAAATAGAACGAATAATAATAATAATAGCAATAATAATAATAACTTTACGACTAACAACAACAACGATTAAAATACAACAACAACAACAACAATAACAAATAACATTGCCAAAAAAATGTCAACAAACCACAATGTCATAATTATCATTGATTTCTGCACATTTCACCTTTGCCTTTACACCGAGAGAAAGACAACTGACCTACATGAAGACTAGGGCCACGTACACACCTGTAATGATGGGTCAGGTGTGTGTGTGTGTGTGTGTGTGTGTGTGTGTGTGTAATAATAATAATAATATAATAATAATAATTAACGGTTTAGTTAGAGAGCAGCCCGAAGGCTGAAAAATACAGTTACATATTTGGGGAATGGGTTACGAATTACAAATAATATACAACATACAGTAAGTGATACAAATAAGACATATAATAACTAGATGGGAAAAGCTCAAACTACAGTTCATTTCAACATAGTGACAGTGTAGGAGCAGTGTTTACTGGGAGTGAATACACTGGTTTATTACAAGTTATTGATAATTTTACAATGGTTGGGACTGGGCTGTTCTTATAGCGATCAGTTCGTGCACGTATGGGCTGGATGCGGTTGTGGTGTCGAACAGCAATTCGGACAAGGGATCTCAGGTGGTAGTAGGAGCCGGTGTCGGGGATGGTTGGTGTGTGTGTGTGTGTGTGTACCGTCGAATCTTTCAAGTCCTGAGGGTTATATATTGATGATTATTATTGTTTCTAAAATAGGGAGTGGGGTGGACAGGAGTGGGGTGGGAATGGAGTGAGGCGGGGATGGAGTGGGGTGGAATAGTGTGGAGTGGGGTGGGTATTTTTGGTCACTCTACTCTCAGGTACATGTAATTAACGCTACATAGCCACACGTACAGAGATAACTATCTATAAGCTGTAACTGCCTGTAACTAAACTAAAACTTTATGCTTGTTTTGTTCCCGTTAAGAAAAGCTATCCAAGGTGATCTGTGTGTGTGTGTGTGTGTGTGTGTGTGTGT